GGAGAAAAAGAAATTAAAAACTAAAAGGATTTCAACCTAACATCTACCTTCTAACCAGCTATATTACCAAGCCAATATTGGACTAGAATAAGGAAATATTCAAGACATGTAAGAACTCCAGAATGTACTGTTCTGACAGCGATCCCTAAAACTTGCTGGAGAAGTGCCTCTCAAACATACATGAGCAGAGGAATAGATGGGGATCTTATGAAACTGTACATTTCAGCTCTACTTTTCTAACAGATCTTGTGTGATTCTGATGCCGCTGGCCCCTGAACCATACTCTAAACAGTGGAATACTACAGTAGCAGTTTTCAATCTGTGACCAAGGGACCTCTAGGAGCCCAGGCAATCCCTTCAGGCATGTATGAGGAATTCCCCATAACATGTCTGTGTGAAACCAGATTTCTTCCATATACTTCAACTAAAATAATACATTGTAACAGGTATAAGCATCTAGCTGTCTATTGTGCTTAGAGTCTCATAAGACTAAAGTCAAGATGTTGTCGAGACACTTCCTTTCTGGAGGCTCTGGGGGTGAATATGCTTCTGAGATCATTCAGGTTGTTGGCAAATTTCGGTTCCTTATAGTTGTAGGATGGAGGTCCCTGTTTCTTTGGGGTTCATCACAGCTTCTAGAGAACATCCCAGTCCTTGGCAGATGGCTCCCCTCCTCCAGCTTCAGAGCCAGCAATAGCAGAGTAGGTCAGTAGTTCCCATGCTTCAAATGTCTCTTTCCTTCCCTCTCTTGCCACATCTGACTCACTTTTCTGCTTGTGATTACATTGGACTCTCCAGAATAGGTTCCCTATTTTAATGTTATCCAATTAGTAATTGTAATAACATCTGCAAAGTCCTCCATAGTAGTACTTACATTAGTGTTTGACTGAATTACCAGTAGATGAGAACCCTAAGGAACATCTCTAGAATTCTGCCTACCACCACAGCAAAGGGAAATGTCCAGATCATAGCAGGTAGCAAGTCTTCGGCCAGCCAATCCAGGCTGAGTAGGAATATAAAGAATACCTATGAGTACAAGGACCCGAGTTTGATCCGCAGTACCAAAAAAAAAAAGAAAAGAAAACTTATGAAAAAATTCTTTAAAATAAATAAAAGAATACTTATGTTTGGGCATATGGAAGATATTACTGGCAATATTACTGGTACACAGATGTTAAGAGTGTTTGGATAAGCTTAGCAAGAAGTTCGTAAAAACCTAGCTAAACGAAGAAGCAATGTGCTTATTACTCCAGAAAAAGGTGAGGAATTTTAAATGAAAAGAGACTCAATCCTTGTCATAAACCCTTTGGCCTTGCAATGTGTCACAGTCATAATAATGTAAATGCTATTGATTTAACAAGCACAACCAAAATACATAATTATGATGGGAATGGAACAATGGCAACATAAATATGTTTAGAAATATGGAAATAAATAATGAGGGCAAGAATAGATGACAGCCTTTGTCTCTAGGAGCTGGATCTGGAAAGGCATGGGCACAGTTTCTCAGGGCACACCCATTAGTGCTATGCCAGGCATCCTGGCTTTGCCCTGCAACCCTGCTGCCCTCCCCCATCCACTGTGCCTTTCTCTGCCCTTTCCTGATCCCCAGACATCTGACCTTGCTATTTCCTGGCTTCTGAGTCCTGGCTGAATTCAGCCAGTGGGAGGCACTGCAGACATGAAAAGAGGGAGCACAGAAAGGGATCCCTGGACCTGCCATTCTCCCAGCTCTGGGTGGGGTTTCTTCCAACTACACTTCTCCTCCAAGCTCCAGCTCCCACTGGACTCATGTCTAATGTTCCCTTTCTTGCCCCTTCAGACCTAAGAAAGAAATGATGTCCGCAGTTGGTGTCCTCTGGGTATGTCCAAATCCCAACTCTCCTGTCTACCTCAAAAAAACTGTCCCTTCAGGGCCAGGATTTAGCTCAGTGGTTCTGTCGCCTGCCTTGCAAGCGCAAGGACCCAAGTTCAATCCCCAGTACCAAAAAAATAATAATAATAATTTTAAAAATTTTTTTAAAACTGTCCCTTCATTTAAGTCTCCTGAATGGTCTGAGTGATCCCCTGAGGACCTGTCTCTTCAGCCAGTCTAGGCCCTATTGAGCCCCTGAAAGTTTTATCCAGCATTCACCCAGTGAGTATTTTGTTATTTCAAAACACTGAAGGCACAGTTTCTTGTAGCAGGCAAGGTAAGTAAAACATACTGTCACCCATTGTTTTGAAATAGTTTCACCTTTGCTTATTCTGAAATGGTGGGTGTTTAAGACATATTGAGAATCTTTAGAGAATTCATTAGATTTACTCCTATAATTTTAAAAGCCAAATGTTGATCTCTGCTTCATGACACTCTGGTGTGACATCTCTGAGATGAGGACAGCTTGTTTCTACAATTGCCTCTGCCCTGGAGCAACCTGGTCAGCCTCCATTTGTCTTGTTAATAAGGCAGAGATTTGCTCATTATCAGCTCCTAAGGAAAACGCCATGAGCTTGTTTTGAAAGCATAGACTTTTTTTTAAAAAAGGGTATCTTTTTCCATTTGTAATACTGGGCTCTATTTGGGAGTGGGGAGTGCCAGGATATGTTGTCTATCTTTGGTAAAAGCTCTCCAGCTGTCTCCAAAGAGGCCCTTCATGGTCACATTAAAAACCTCAGTGAATATTGCTCAGGCTAAGAAACCTAGGATTGTTAGTGCATCAAAATGAACCTTTTTCTCAGAAATGAACACTCATTAGCCAAGCTCAGTGTCTGATGTGCAGACATGTTGCCATTTACAGTGTTTGCCTTATGAGTGCTCAAGACAGCCCTCATCTCTTATCTTTTGTTACCATAGGCGACCCACATTCAGAATAGGAAAGTCTGGAATGCTCAGTAAGCACTGCTGAAAGCCAAGATGATTGGTAACAAAACCACAGTAACAATGTTGTGTTAGTCAGCTTTCTGTCACTATAATAAATATCTGTGATGCACTTCTCAATTGTAGAATCTTCTATATGTCATTCTTATTCACCACTCTTTGAAGTGTGTGGCACAGCAATCTGTTCTACTCCTTGTTTCATTACTGAAGTAAAATATTTTGCTAATTAATTCAAACTTGGTGGAGGAAACTGTTCATTTTTTAAATTCGGCATTAGAGAAAAGAGACTCTATGTGAGGTATCACAAACTATTCTGAACTATGTACAGTATGTGTAACCACAGTTCAATGTACATTGTTTCTTGAAGAGCTCAACTCACCTAAATTTTATACACCTGACCAGAAAAACTAGATTCTTATGAGAAAAAAATGGAAGAAAAAACATAAACCCTAAAGAGTATTACTTAAATCCAAGATGAGTTAGAGATACTCTGGACCAACTAATTAGACAAAAATAAAGAAAAAAATGCTTTAACTACTGATGTTTGGAGCTAGTTAGCCTTAAGTGGGAAACATCAGCTTCCTGGTTCAGATACAAAAAGGAATAAGGAGAAATTTTAATTTTTTCTATTCTTTGGCATGATTTATTTTTAAGTATCAGTCTCCATACTATTAACATCAGGTTTCAGTAGCTTGCCTTTCTCCATATCAAATACGATTGACACTACCAGGAAACTGCACTCTAGCCAGATATACTGGGAATGCAGGGCTACTTTCTGTCACATTAGCCCATCACTGACACCCAGTGAGTAAGGCAGGAGGCCACAAAGGAAGGCCTGCTCCTCCACAGGCCTTACAAGAAAATGTGGAAAAGCAAGTGTTGTGCCCAGATCGCGAAGTCCCCAAAGAACACCAAGGAGCCGATTCCGATGTAAACGCACGAGGGTTGTTTATTCAAGCTTGAGCAGGGACTCACAACCGTCACCGGCGCAGCGGATCAGGATTGAGAGCCCCAACTCTAAAACACCAGGGGTTTTTATAGAGATTACAGCAAGGTTTGGAGATTTTTCACTTAGCGGTTACATGATTGGTTAGCATTTAGCAAGCATGAAGTGTACATTTCTGATTGGCTAGGTTCATAGGGGGTTGAGGGGCGGTTACATGTAGGTTTTACAAGGGAAATGAGGGGCAAAGGTTGGTGGTCGACTGTCACGTACTGATGGTCAGCAGATACACTGACTATTAGTCACAACCATTTCGTACTGACAGTCAGCACATCTACAGATTGTTCTATGGATAGGGGGCCCAGAACATTCTTTTCCTAGGCAAACAGATGGTTGAGTAATTAACTTAGGAACTTTGCTTCAGTACAGACTGTGTCTTTTGTCCCAGAGCATGCACATTTTAACCATTAATTTGTGAGAGACCAGGGGAGTGGTGCATTTTAGCAAAATGGAGTTGCTTTGGTCTCACACAAGGAGTCCCCAGGAAGCCCCAGATGCTGCAGTTAAATCATCTCACCAACAAAAGTGAGTGCAGCTAAGAACAATTTTTAAGATTTTTTTTAACATGTTGTAGGATGGAGAGAAAATTTTGCATATCTGATAAGTGCAAATTAAACCATTAACCACTACAGTGGCTAAATTTTAATAAAGTTAATACCAAGTGATGATAAGGATAACTGAAATTCTCAAACTTTGTCTAAGTGGAAAATAATACAGCTTCTTCGAAAAACACTTAGACATTCCTGTGTTTAGAAAGTTCAATTTTTACAAGATCCAACCCCACTCCTATATATTTACCCAAAAGAAGCAGCAAACCTGTTTACACAAAATCCTGTATGCAGATGTTTACAAGAATTTTATTCATAGTTACCAAAAGCTGAAAATTACCCAAATGTCCTTCAGTTGGGGAGTGAATAGACTGTGGTTCACACATCCCATACAATGAAATGCTACTCAACAAATAAAAGGAGCAAACTACTGACACAACATGGATGAATCTCAAATGCATTATGCTAAAGAAGCCAGAATAAAAAGGCTAAATGCTATTTGACTCAGTTTATATGAAATTCTGGAAAGGTAAAACTAGAGACAATACATAGATCACTGATCCCAGGGGTAAGGTTAGAGGGAGGGCTTGACTACAAAGGCACTGCATGAAGGAATTTTTTTTTTTTTTTTTGGTACCAGGGATTGAACTCCGGTCCTTGTGCTTGCATGAAGGAATTTTTATGGTGATTACCCATTCTCCTTTTTCTTTAGTTTTGTGGGTTTTTTCAGTAGTGCTTGTCAGCAGTAGCTAATGTTTATATTCCTTGCGGGGATTGGTACAAGTACATAACTCATTTTAATTCCTTTTTTCATCCCTTTCCCCTCTTCTCCCATCATCTAATTCCCTTCCCATTTGAGATCTACCTCCCTACTTCCTATTATTCATCTTTTCTTTTGCTCTTTATTCATATTTTGGGCTTCTCAGATAAACCATGAAGTAGTCTACTTGGTGTAATAAAAAACTATGACAAATGTTTAAAATTTTACTACGGTTAAGACACACTGCCATTAATCCTCCTCAAAATACCGCCCCCCTCACTTCAAACACACTTATCTCATTATTCTTGCCACTTTCTGAAGCAGTTCTGGAAGTCCTCTTCTGTATCTTTTTGTACCTGCTTCAATGTTCTGAATAGATTCAAAATGTTTATAGCAAATCTGTCAAACAAAATATTATAACATGTCCTCTTCTACTTTATTCAGGTCTGACACCATGGGATTTTTCCCCAAAGTCAAAATGACCATAGAAGGTAAAGGTTTTGAATTGATTTGGGACATTGAGATAGTCACGACAGCACAACTAAAGATACTCACAAAGACTTCCAGAACTGCTTCAGGAAGTGGCAAAAATGACAGAATGTGTGTTCAAAACAAGGAGCAGTATTTTGAAGGGGATTAATAGCAATGTATCTTTTATTGTAATAATTTTTAAACATTCACCAGATTTTTGATCACACATCATACACCTTGATTATAAAAATGATCACATGTATTTATTAAAACTCAACTATATAATAAAGGGGATGTATTTTGCTAAAAAAAAAGTTTGTAAAAGATGTCATATGGAAGAAACTTTAGGATAACCCATTCAAACTCACGAAATCTCAGGAAGGGCAAGTGATTTATGCATCATCTTAAGTAATCAGAATAGCAGGATAAGACTGAAGCCTCCTGAATGCCATCCAGGATTTTCCATACCAAACAATTTTTAGACTTGACTCTAAGTAAGAAATACGTCCTATCAGTTTTCCATTTCTGACATAATAAATTACCACAAGTTTAGCAGCTTACTACTCATTTACTGTCTCATAGTTCCACAGGTCAGAGGTCTGGAAGGTCAAAATGAAGATGTCAGCTGGTCTGGGCTCTTTTGTATCTGACACTCCATAGGAAAATCCATTTCCAACACCATACAAGTGACTAGCAGAATTCAGTTCCATACAGTTGTGAGACTTAGTCTGTTTCTATACAGGCCATCATCGTTCTTGGCTTCTACAAGCTGCTCATGTCTTAGCTCACTGCTCACTGGTGCCTTCAGAGCCAGAGACAGCAGGTAACAGCCTTTTCATGTTTGGATTTGACATACTTTTCTATCCAGAAGAAATTTCTGCTTTCAAGGAATGACCATGTGATTACTTTGGGCCCTTCCAGACAATCAGTACAATCTATCTTAAAGTTAACCAATTAGTAACTGTACTCATATCCATGTCTTTTTTTTATAGAAGTGACACTTGGGGGAGGTGAAAATCATGGGAGCCAAAACTGCCTAGCACATACATTTTACACAGTAACCTAGTACAGAAACATATAAATGAAACAAAAATTAAAATATTTATAGAATTCAACACTGTTACTTTTTTAAATTGACAAATGTTTTTAATCATGCACATGTTTTGAAATAATAATAAGTCTAACATCCTTTCTCTTTGCAAAAATACAGTATACCATTAACTATAGTCACTTTGTTATATTAAAAATTTTGGTGACAACACATTTATTTCACATCCCACTTACCAGCTGCAACCTATAATTTTGACAAAAGGCCATCATGCCTTTTTAATTCGTTTTTAATACTAATAGTCTATGAAAGGAACTCCAGGGCCTGTGTAACACCCAAAATTATATGCAAAGTTATGACACTAATCCCAAGAAAAATATATCCTGGCTGGGGAACATTCTATATGATAACTTAGCCAGTATTAGTCAAGACTATCAAGGTAATTAAAAAATGAGGAAAGGGGCTGGGGATTTAGCTCAGTGGTTGCGCCTCCTGCCTCGCAAGCGCAAGGTCCCAAGTTCAATCCCCGGTACCAAAAAAAAGAAAAAAAAGGAAAGACTGAGAAACTGTCACAAATCAGAGGAGACTGGGAACACATAAGTAAGCGCAATGTAGTATACTGGATTGGATCATGGAACAGAAAAGAAGCTATTAATAGAGCAATTAGTGAAATCCAAAAAAGTCTGAAGTGTAGTTAATAGTAACCTATAAATGCCAGTTTCTGAATCTTGACAAACGTACTTGACAGTGGTGTTAGCAATGGGGAAACTAAGTAAATAAAATATAAGGAGGCTCTGTAACTTTTCTGTAGATCTAGCATTATTTTCAAATAAAGTTTATTTTTAAATGTTACAAGACTGAGCATCTGTACATTATTCTAGGGAGAAGATCCTGCGGACTTTATATCTCAAAAGTGGTCTATAATCCAAAAATTCTTAAGAACCACTGTTCAAGAACTCTTGTACTTTCCTTAACCACTGCTTCCTAAGAACTCTGCCTTCTTCCTATTTCACTCACACCTTCTCACTAAAATCAGAATTTAGCCTGGGGCTGAAGGAGAAGGGAAAAAGAACTACTATATGACCAGAATGGAGTTTGGGAAGATTTTTCAAATCTAGAGACAGATGATGGTGACGATTGCACAGCAATATGAATATACTTAATATCACTAAGGTATAAACCTAAAAATGGCTGAAACAGTAAATTATACCTTTTACCACAATTTTTTAAAAAGGGGTGCCTATACATGCTATAGCATGAATAAACCTAAAAAAAATTAAGTGAAAAAAGCCAGACCCAAGACATTTTATGTGATTCCATTCATAAGAAAATGTTCAAAAAATTCACTGTGAGAGTTGCACATATCCATGAATATACTAAATATTGACATGTTCACTTTAAAATGGCAAATTCTATGGTATATGAATAAACTGCTTTTCAGTGTATAACATTTATTTGACTATTAAGAAAAAAAGTCATTCCATAAATTCTGGAACCATATTCTGGTGACGAGAGAAAAATGAACAAAATTAATGACAAGACTGTGATTCAGAAGGCTGGCAGGGACAACTGGGAAGGTCTGCACTTGGGCATAGTAGGGGAAGAACAAAGGCGATTATAAAATACACTAGAATGAAGGTGATCAGAGACCTTTATTCTGGTCCTCATCATTCATTAAGCCACCTATGTAGAACAATTTCTGCCCCAAGCAGCAGCGGCATCCAGGCAGACATATGAGTGGAAGACAGACACAAATGGAAGACCTTATAGAGAAAAGCTGTCAGATGCAATCTCAGCTTATCCCAGCTCAGGTAAAAGTAGAACAGGAAGAGTATATATGTGTGCACAGACTCTGTTCTTCAAAGCTGAGGTCTGCAGAGAGGGGCGAGCAGAAGGATGCAAAGAAAACTCATGAAACTGCCCAGCTCAGCAATCAATCCAAAGTACCTAAAAATACAAAGAGCAATGTGTAAAGCAAGGTGTTTCAACAACTGGATTATTGTAACAAATCGCCAAAGTTAAAACAGAAGGGGTGTTGGAACTGGCAGCAGTTCTATTTCTGAAGAACAGCTATCTAAAAAATACCTCTGGAAAATCAGGACATTACTAAGTGCAAGCAGTTGAGGATTAAGCATACCAATCCAGAAATTTGGATTAGAGGTGGGAAAAGGGCTAAGGAGTTCTTGTATTAGTTGGTAAGCATTCAAAGACCATACTCTGGGTGAGTGATACAAAATAAATAAGATAATCTAAGCAAAGAGCTTATATTCTTTTCAGAAAGTTCCAGTTAAGATAGGAACTGGGCCCAAAATTTTGTATGCCATCCCATCCAAATTTATATTCATAAGGAAAACAGGTTTTTAAATGGTATAAATCTCCAACAAAGAATAGGAGAGCCATCAGTAACTAAGAGATTTTTTTTAAAAAATCTGAATTACCAAAATCTGAAGCAGGTTTATAAATAAAACAGAGGAAAAGTGAGCCTGGAATGAACACAAAGTGGGCTGCAGCAGAAGAGGGAGCCCATCTGCCTAGAAGAACCACAGGAAGACTCTAGACTCAGCCACCAGGAAGTGACACAAAGAAATTTAAGATGAAAATGGATTGATGACCCATGTTTCTGTACAGCAAACAGCTGCCCACACATTCTCCTCACAACCCTCCCTCTGTGCAAAACCTAATTTGTGAAAATTAAAAAAGCTCAGGGCTGTCTACTGAAGAGCCCAATGAATCATCAGATGAGAGCAGCTTCTGACGACACCACTCCTGCACTAAATCATTCTGCATTCTGGTCTTTGGGAGCCCCAGTAAGACATCCCATTCCTGTTCACCCTAAACTAAAGGGGCCAGGCAACAACCACTTCTGCAACTACTACTACTACTACTACTACCACCACTACTACTACTAGACTACACACACACATGTACACGTGCACACACACAAACATACAACTTCCAAAAAGCCTTCTGTCTCATTATAAACAGAATGAAAATAAAAATTGATTTAAAAGTCCTAGAATAAAACATAATTCAGGAGAAAGAAAAACAAACCAGAAACATCTCTAATTTATAAAAAAAAAAAAAAATTGCCTCCACATTCAATAATGGCAAGTTCCTGAGATCAACTGACAAAGCTAAACAGAAACAAACAAGAAAAGAAAATCTTTCAGTCAATGAAGTAGTAATAAAAAAAGGCAAACCTAAAATCTAGAGATGGCACAGACAAAAATAAGCCCAGTCTCCAAAGCTCCCTTTGCCCTAAGGGCATCTGCCCATCTGAAAGAGAGCACTGATAGAGTGCCATGTGAATTTGGCAAGATGAGGGAACCAAGAATCAAACTTCAGAGTCTGCCCTAGTGGGGAAGTCTGATAATCACCCCCTTTTCATGCTGGAGTTACAAAAGTTTACACCCTCAGAGTAAGGCTGAACCAAAATTAACTCAGATGCCTCACAGACCTGAACTCTGGGTTTGTACCACCATGGTTAAGGAGACTGACAATGCCCCTAGGTAGATTGCAGGAGCAAATGAAATCTTCCCTAGCAAAAGGTATCACTGAGAAAAAAAAAAAAAAAAAGATTTCACCACACAAGCCTCAAATTAGCCAACAGATAATTTTTTTCAAATGTAACGACCAGAATACAAAGACAGTACAAAGAAAAACAGATAAATTCAAAAGACCGAATACTGAATTGGACAGACTACAAAAGCTTCAAAACACTATGGATATTAGATATTAGACCAGACACACACTAAAATCAACTATGCTTACTGTTTAAAGAAATCAAAGTTTCAAAGGAGCTGTAGAAAATTTAAAAACAAAACAGATTTTTAAATAGAACTCATACTAGTGAAAAATACAACTGAAACTAAAAAAACAAAAAAAGTTTAAACAAGATAAAAGAACTAAAGTCAGAATTAAACTGAATGTCAGAAAATTAGAGAACACGTCATGGAGAAGCAAAATTTGAATCTTTATGTATGTTTGAATCCATATATGTTTAATAGGAATCCCAGAGAAAGGAGAAGGCAAGAACCAAGTAGACCCAATATCTGAAGAGATACTGGCTAAGAATTTTCCAAGGCATATGAAAGACATCAGACTACAAATTCAAAAGCCCAAGCCAACTACATAAAAAGAAATCTACATTTTCCTACATCAAAGTGAAACTAAAGAAAATCAAAGGCAAACAAAATCTTAAAAAGGGACAAATTACCTTCAAAAGACCTACACCAACAGGCAATTTCCCAACAGAAACAATGGAAGCCACAAAATGGTAGAATAACAGCTTCACTGTTCTACATGAAAATAACTTTCCACCTAGAATTCAAAATCAGCAAACTATCTTTCAAGAATCAAAGTAAAATAAAGGCATTTTCATACCAAAAAAGCCAAACAGACAATCAGTTACCAGCACACAAAGTTCTAGCAGATTCATTTCAAGAAGAAAATGATTACAAATAGATAATACATAAAAGAAAGATCAAAGATTACAGTAAATAAGTGGATAAATCCATGTCACTGGCCGCATTATATAACATTAACAATGCCTTATGTGAACTGACAAAGACACGTAACAGTAACAGTATGTCATGTTGGGGAATGAAGGACTTTTAAATAGAGTTAATGGATTCTAAGATTCCATTTTGCTGATGATAAAGGTAAAGATTCTAACATTAGATTTTGATAAATTAAGAATGCATGCAATGAACAGATTAACCACTAAAAGGATAGAAGCAGAGTATATAACTTCCAAACCGACAGAAGAGGAAAAAAATAATCCAAAAGGTAAAAAATGAAAGGAAACGATCCCCAATACCAAAAAAAAAAGAAAGGAAAAAGAGGCCGGACAAACAGAAACTAAAGCAAAATGAAAGATTTAAACCCACAGATATCACTAGCCACATTAGACATAAATGAACTAGTGCTCCAGTTAAAGGTAAAGGCTGTCTAAATTTACAAAACAACCCAATTATATACTGTTTACAAAGATATGTAAGTGTAAAAACAAAAAGATGAGAAAAAATACCACTTAAACATTAATAAAAGCTAGTAAGCTTTAAATATTAGACAAAATAGGCCTTCAGGCAAAAAGCACTACTAGAAATAATAGCCAACTTATAAATATTAAACACTCAATCATGAACAATATATAATATTAAATTTATATACACCTAATCACATGGTCTTATATAATGAAAGACCCAGAAATGTAAATCAAAATACAGTAATTTTTGGTCAAAGTGGGAGACTTTTAACATACTGCTCTCAGTAACTGATAAAATAAGTAGACAAAAAGAAATTCAGCAACACAAAAATCTGAACAATAATGAAATGTGACACTGTACCCAACAACTACAGAATGAACTTCTTCAAACACACATAGAACATTATCAAGACTGACTACACACTTGCCTATAAAACAAAGAGGCAATAACAGAAGTTATTTTTAAGAAAAATTAGTAGGTACTACGGCTAAACAAAGATCTACAAAGAAGAGAATCCTCAATAATCTAGGCTTGGAGCCTACCATGGGAATGTATCTTAAAAGATATTTACAAGAATATCTCAAAAGTACCACATGCCTAGGTTGATACAGAGACACAAAATAGAGGAGTAAAAAAAATGAAATAATTGAAAAAGAGACTAAGAATGGTAATGATGCTTAAAGGAGATAATGAGAACATCCTGTTAGGGTGAAGGTGAGAATGAACTGAGGGCACATGGCTTTTGAAAAGCTGCTCAATCAGTATATACATACTGAAGAGTAAGATTTAGGAATTAAGCAGCAGAAATAGCTCTGAGAGAAAGTAGTTAAGGGAGTGTTTCAAATATTTGCTATTTCAACAAGATTCAGTTAGAACCCAAATCAATCCAAAATTCCTAAGAAGAAACAGATGTAGGCAAATGGATTATCTCCCTACAGCAACATAATCACTTTACATGGACTACTGAAAAAGAAGAGAAAAAAAAAAAGAGGTGTCATTTTAAATGCTGACAATAGTTTCTGGTCTCTAACTCTACAATGATGATATAAAATTTATATGTAGGGATGAATACCTAAGTAGGAGTCAAACTTTTGAATCCAACTAACTCCACCAGTATTTTTATATTCCCTTCCATTTCTTTATGGTTAGCAATTTTCCAGAAGTTCTAATTCCCCAAGAATGGAAATAATCTCACTAGGTTAAGCAAATCAGTTTTTTCTATCCTAATAGAAAGCAGAGAGAATTATCCCTACACAAACAAGAGAAAACCAGACATCTGTTTTTGAATTCGCATCATCAACATGAAAAGGACCAGTGGAAGTAATTGCCCAGATAGAGAACTTACCTTCCAGAAAAGCAAATTCATCCACAGCTTCTATTGCATTATCTGAAAAACAAGGTAAGGACAAACCTTACTAACACTGGTCATCTGAGTATCAGCCCCCAAACACCACAATCCACACAATGAAGGGCATGGGGCTATCTCAAATATGTCCCTTGTTGCCTACAGATCTATTTCCACTCCACCTCCTATATATTTGTTGTTTCTCTAGACGTGTAAGAAAAACCCAGGCAACCTGTTCAATTACAGGGAAAACTGGAACCTCCTACAATCCTGTTTTACACCTAAATTCAATTATTCTCTTTGCTCTGAACATCACAGAAGAGTTTGACAACATAGCAGGGTGCGTGGGATATAGTATATCAAAGTTTCCACATGTGCAAACATTACCGGCTAGACAAAAAGGTCACAAACCAAACTTTCAATTTTCACAGTGATGCCTTCTCAGCCAACAAAGGGTAAGCCTGGCCCAGTTGGCCTCCTTGTCTACCCCCAGATATCACAGGGACACTACCCAAATCTCTCCTCTGGAGGGTTTTCCTCTTTCCTTGTTGTGCACAGCAGTAGGCATCTCTTGCAATGGTCTCCACAAACAGTTCCTGTAAAGCAAACAAGCAAAGGAATGGTCAGTGGGCTCTCGGCCACTGAGAGGTGAGCACTAATGCACTGAGTAGTGAAAGGAAGAAGTGGATTCAGGCACACTGAGAGGTTCTGTAAGCTAAGGTTGCCCTGGGCTTCATGAAGGTCATTCGGCTACGCATTCCCCCTAAGATAGAACGACAACTCCCTCCTGAGCTACTTGTAAATCACTGCATTCCAACAAGATGTGTGAGCCACGGGATATACGAGAGACGTTAACGAGCCCTCAAAAAGAGCCAGGTGATTAACCCACACAACTCCTATAGGTGTGAGGCCCCTCGTCCTTAGATTTTTTCGTCAGCACAGCCCTCAGAGTGCGGCCCTAGCACCTCTCACTTCCTAGGCCTTAGCAAACCCCACCCCCTGGAAGCCCCGCCCCTCAGAAAGGCGACGCTCTCCCTTCCCCGAGAGCCCTCGCGCTACCGCCGCACCGCGGCTCGCGCCAGAACGAAGATGGCTTCCTGTCCCGCCAGCGTCACGTCGGGGTCGGCCTTCACTAAGGCCTTCACTCGTGCCAGAGGCAGCCTCGAGAGACGAGCCCCGGGCCCACTCGTCGGGGCTTGGGGCTGCGCGGCACCTGCCTCCCCTCCGGGGCCCTCCTCCTCGCGGGGCGTCCCGCTTCCAGCCGGCGCCGCCGCCGCCATCCCCACACTAAGCAAACTGCGCGCGGCCGCTGACTGAGCGCGCGCATGCGGCGACGGCCCTCTTCCCGCTTGGGCTGGAGGCTACGCCCTCTGCAGACGCGTGGCTCCGCCCCTACGCGGGGTTAAGGGTGGTGCCGGATTGCCCCGGCGGGTGTGCATGCTGCCCTTGCTTGTGTTGCATCTATCTACAGCCCCTGATCCTCGTTGTGTCTTCTCCGTCCCGGTTCCCGATTGCCCTTTGACCCCGACTGGCCAAGTTAAGCTCAAGTACTGCTTCTTAGTCCGGGAAGATGGTGTCTGTGACGGGTTGGTGCTGGGAGGTGCTCCCTGGTCGGGAAATGCGCATAGCCGGCTTCTTAGTCTCAACTCTGTGATGACCAAAGGTCAAGGGTTCAAGGGAGGCCAGCATGTTCTTCATCACGGATGAGAGTAGACTAACTTCAAGTTTAAACACTCCTGAAAGGGGTTGGAATTTTGACAGGCAGAAATTTAAACTTTAGTCTGGGCAGAGGAAACCACTGCGCAATAAAAAGGTCTGGAGGTTGGAAAGCTGGAAACTAGGTCAGGCACCAGGAGTCTACGTTTATTCAAATACGATTGCATCCCATCAGTGGATCCTTTTACACCCTGAGAAATTAAGAATTCTTTTATTTCCGTGAGTTATGTCAGCATTTATTAGTATTAATGTTTTAAATACACTAGTACATTAAATGTCAAAGTAGCGTTTTTATGAAAATAACTTTTCAAAGCTAAAAAAAAAAAATGTAGTGAGAGAAATGTGATGCCACGTTTAATAGAAGGCAACTGGATTGTCTAGCTGCTTCTGTATATTAATGTTATCCCTTTTCACATAGCTCAGGAAAACTTCACACCATCAACTTGGGATGATGAGAATAAAAAAGCAAGTTACCTCTTAGTATTAAGAAAATAGCTTTGCCAGGCATGGTGATGTATGGCCAGCCTGGGCTACATAATGAGTTCAAGGCCATAGGGAGACCATGTTTCCAAAAAAAAGTTTTGACCTTACAGATCCCTAAAAAAGATCTCCAAGAAATTCCTTTCCCAACCACCAGGGAGTCTGATACTTGGAGCTCTGGCATAGAGGAAATTAATTTACACAACAAAAGGTCTAATCTGCTGGGTGTGGTGGCATACACCTGTAATCCCACCTACTTTCAAGGCTGAGGCAGAAGGATCTCAAATTTGAGGCTGGTCTGGGCAATTTAGCGAGACTCTGTCTCAAAGAATTAAAAGGGTTTGGAACATAGCTCAGTGCTGAGGCCCTGAGTTTGATCCCAGTACCACACACATGCACACACAAATTCTAAATCAATTGTAACAAAAGCTCACTTTTTAAAGTATTAACTATGTATATGGTTCAAAATGCTTTAAATTTATGTAGAGATACAGTTGAATTAGATGACATCTGAAATCATTCAGTTCCAAAATTGTGGAACTGGATTAGCACAGAGAGATTGCATCAGAGCAGAATAAGAGTCTCAGCCAGCAATTAAAATCTTCAGAGGAAGTGGTATGCATCACGGAACACTTAACCAATGCTGATGTCATGAGTCTTCTTCAATTTACATTGAGGGGGAAAAAAAGGAAAAGACTAAAGGTACAAAAGAGAAGTTTGCTCTTAATCAATTCAGTGTTTAAAGATATGGTTTAAGCAGTGATTTCTGATCTTTTCACCCTCAACTTTGATTGAAACAATAAAAACTCAATGTAGTCTACAAGATTTTCCACAACTGGGCTCCTTCCAACCTCTCCAGCTGAGATAGGAGATTAGGGCTTGGAAAAGCTGGCTGGAGAGGTAGATGAACTGTTAATTACAGGATCCCAGACACACAGGCAGAAAAGTTCCCTAAGCCCTGCACGTGGACTTCTTAGGGGAACTCAAGCAGGTTTTCAATAGGATGACCTAGACCTGAAGTCAGCTTGAGGCATGGGATCCCAGCACCATCTCTCAGGACGCCTATGTAAAAGTTCTTATGGGTTTCCTTGAGATTTCGACAACATATAAAGACACAGATACCACAAGGAGCCCACTATCATGGCTTTCCTCATGATAGCCTGCCCTGCTTTCTCCAGGGTGTTCTTTTTTCTTGCTTTTTCCTCTTTTACTTGGCCCAAGCTTATGCTGCAGAGCCAGTTTCTCCCTCCCTCTTCACTTTTACTTTTTCAAGTAAACTTTGCCACTGCTTTTTGCTCATTTACTTGAATTGTTTGTTTGAGACAAGAAAAACCTGGACTCCAACTCCAGAAGAAAAGGCAAGCAACCCAGAACCCGGTAACATTTATGTGGTGAGCCACTTTTAGAAGGAGCTATCCAACAACACAACTGCATTTTGTGCCATTTCCCCTCCTTCTCAAGTTGGTTTTGTCCCTCATGCCTTCCTTCAAATCACAGCCTCATGTGTGTGGAAGATCCTCCACACTGCCCCACCCTTCCACAGTTGTTATGAAATCACTCCAACTATTAACACCTGTCCTTCATAGTACTGATTTCCCTGTGTGGTTATTTGATCAATGTTTGACTCCTCCTCTCTCGCCTTCTCCAGATTGAAACTCCATGAGGAAGCTGTATGCCTGATTTTGTTCACTGAGTTTCCAAACTGATACAGTTCCTAGCACATGGTAGGTGCTCAATAATTTTTTACTGAATGAATAAACCATTAAAAATGGCACAACTTGTTGCTCTTCCTCAAAGTCTAAGAAGGCATTTCAGAATCGGGGGGAAAAAAACATTTAAAAATGCTTACCAAGTGTTTCTAGTAATTATTATGGGTTGGTCTGTCCCTCCATCTTTGTATACTTACAGTGTTACCTCGGTTCATGAACTTAATTCATTCCATGATTCTGGAAAAGATGGCCATGTGCATGTTCATGCAGGAAAGAAGGCCACAGTCTGTCACCTGATGCAGAGTTGGAAAACAAAAACAAAATTTTGCCAAATGTTTCTTTTTGCAAACCAGTTGTTTATTTGATGGAAAGGAAAATTCAAAGCATGAAAGGTAATTATCTTTTATAACTTTTTATTCAAATGTTCACCCTATTTTTTGATCATACCTTGCACTGACACACAGAAGTTCTGGTTATTCAGGTGGTAAAACTTCATATTCCTCTTCCCAAAGAGACCAGAGTGATATTTGTGAAAACTGACCTTGTGTGACATATGCCACCAACATTATCTCAGCTTCTTGGGGTCTACCAGTGCTAGTCAAGATGGCCGTGGCTATCTCTCACATAGTCCTGAATTTCACAGCCTATCTTATTCTAAATGGCATTGTTAGACCCAGTGAGAGAGAACCAACCAGAGACCGATATGAAATCCACACAGGAGTTTATTACCAGCTGGGACCTGAGCCAAGCATTGGACTGGAGCCCTGATTGGGGGGGGTGGGGGGACGCAAACGTGTTTTATACACCTTTGAGGCCAACAGTTTCTAGGGCCCCCTGTGGGATAGAACTAGCAAAGCAAGCAAAAGGTACAGAAGCAGAACATCCTGCTGTTAGAACATTTGTAAAACAATAGTTGATTGTTATTTCTAAAGGGATCTTTTAAGGGGAGGAGGTTTCTAAGCTTCCTCCTTCTGAGTTCATCTAAAGGACAGGCAGGTGAGTCAAGCAGCAATATGGAGTTTGTCTTGCTAACTAGGGTCCTTCAGCATGTCCATGAAGGGGTAAAGGAGCTTGTGTAGGTGTGTTCTACAAGAACAATTTCAAAATTAAACTAGATGAAAAGTAATTATAATAACCTAAATATTCTCTTGGAATAAGCATAATATAAAAAGTGTTTCTAATTACAAGCAGTGGTGGGATAATAATCTTTAACTATGTCTTTACTGAGTAAATAATTACACAAGTTCAATTCATAACTGAAAGATCATGGCAGTTTACATCCATGTATTACAAAGACTTAATTCTTAGGCTCACCTCTCCTTTGAGTACTTCTTTAAGACTATATATAGTTCACAATCATTCCATTCCTTCTTGAGAATAAATTCTAATCCTCTGGACCACTGAACTAAAAAGGAATCTGTTGGAAATGATTTAGGACAGTGTTTGGCTCTTCATGATTGCTACTCTTACTGGCTCATAAACCATTCCAAGGACAATCAGACTCCACAGATTGAAGTGTAGGGCAAGTTGAGATCTGACTTGCTGAAAAGTGCAACTGTGTTGTTCATGTACAGAAGGCTGAACAAATGAAGGAGATGACACCCCAGAAAGAGTGGCTGCTATCAAGAAATCAACCAATAACAAATGCTGGCAGGGGTATGGAGAGAAAGGAACCCTTCTCCATTGTTGGAGAGAGTGCAGACTGGTGCGACCACTATGGAAATCAGTGTGGAGATACCTCCAAGAACTAGGGCTGGAGGTCCCATTTGACCCAGCTATTCCCCTGCTAGGTATTTTCCCAAAAGAATTAAAAGAATCATACCACAGAGATATATGTGCACCCATGTTTATAACAGCACAGTGTGTAATAGCTAAAGCTTGGAAACAACCCAAGTGCCCATCAACTGGAAACTGGATAAAGAAGATGTGTTTTTTTTATAAAATGGAGTACTACTCAGGCATAAAGAACAAGAAACTAGAGTCATTTATAGCTAAATGGATGCATATTGAGGCCATACTCTTAAGTGAAATAAATAGGACACACATGTGTAAATACCGAATAGTTTCTCTAGTGTGAGAAACTGAGAGTGTAAATAAGGATTAAAAGGATTAATAACTAATAATTAATACTTTGAAATAGGAAAAGGCCCAAAGGGGTAGGGGTGGTGGGAGGAGATGGGGAAAGGAAAGAATAGAAAGGAAAAACTATGAGAAAAGGAAAAAAAAATGGAAACAAAGTCTATGTAAATAGGGAAGGGTGGAGGGGTGAAGGGCGCACAGGTAATGGGGAAAAAATATGAACCAAGATACATCATGTGCAGGTACAAGCACCCAATGATAAATGTAAACATATTGTATACCTAAAATGTACCAATAAAAGAATTTAAGCAAAAACAACAAGAAAAAAAACAAATGAAGGAGATGAGCCAAAAGTGTTATTACAAGTATTATCTTATTTTCAGGCTCTTTACGGTTATAAAAGATAGTTACCTTTCTTGCTTGCTTTGTACTTTCCTCTCCAGCAAATAAAACAAAGTATGTAAAGATAGATGGAAGGGTAGAAGTCACATGGTGTGAGATCTAGTGAACAAGGTGGAGGAGGACCAGAAAGTAGCAAGAACAATAGGATAAGTATTTTTAAAGAGACAGGGAGTATTTTGAGGGAGATTAATGCCAATGCGTCTGTTAACTTTCTGAACCAGTTCTGAAGTTCTCTTTCATGAATGTCTATTTGTGGTTGTCTCAGTGTCCTAAATCTATGCCAAACATTTATGGCAATTTCTGTGAAATAAAAGCATTACAGTGGGTCTTTATCTCCCTTTTTTCTAGATATGGTATTATGCGACGTCTGGCTCTTCCCCAAAGTCAAAATGACCACAAAAGGTAAACATTTTGAATTGATTCAGGACATTGAGGCAGCCACCACAACAGTGTGACTAAAGACATGAAAGAGGACTTCCAGAACTTCTTCAAAAAGTAGCAAAAGCAATAGGATAAGTGTATTTGAAGAGAGGAGGAGTATTTTGAGGGAGATTAATGGCAATGTTGTCTTTTACTGTACTTTTTAAATTTTAAACATTCACCACAAATTTTAATCATGCTTAGATCTTTGGTGAAACAGAAAGGTCAGTGTTACCGAAACAGTGCTAACCACTATGTTTGATGGGATAAAGCCATGCTATTAAAGGTCATGAGGTAGTCACTAATCATGAAAGCCAAGTACCTCAGCAGAAAACCTAAGGAGTTAAAGATGAGGACCAGCTTATAGCCTAGTGACTGAATAGGTTGGGATAAGTACTTTTCAGAAAAAGAGAAAGAAATAGAAGACAGAAAGGGAGGAGAGGAGTAAGGGAGCAAGGAAGGAAGGAATAGCAACCTGATATTAGGCAATCAACAAACTATAGTATATTTTAAAATATGTCTATAAATTCTTTGATGTTCCTCCTTTAAGAAGTGAAGCCTAAATCTCCTCCCCTTAAGTGGAGACTGGACTCAATAACTCATTTCCAATTAATATAATATGGCAGAAGTAACACTGTAAGACCTTCTAGATTAAATCATAAATAGACTATAAGAAAAAAAAGACTATAGAGCTATTAAAAAAAATATAAGACAAAAAGACTATAAGAGCTAATATATGTTTGCCAAGATTCCAGAATACAAGATTAATATATAAAAATCAGCTGTATTTCTTTACAATAGCAATGAACAGTACAAAATTTAAATGAAGAAAGTATAATCACATCGAAATAATAAAATTTGAGAAATTTAACAAAAGCACAAAATTTGTACTCTCAAATCTATAAACAATCATTGAAGAATATTAAAGAACACCAAAATAGTAGGAAGACATCCACTGTTCATGGATTAGAACAGTGTTGTTAAGACAACAATATTCTCTAAACTGATCTAAATTTTGATACAATCTCTTTCAAAATGCCATATTGCTTTTTTGCAGAAATTGATAGTCTGATCCTAAAATTCACATAGACACAAAAGAGACCTTGGAAAACTAAAGCAATTTTGGGAAGGAAGTACAAAGTTAGAGGACACATACATCCCAATTTCAAAACTTAACAAAAATTACAGATCTACAATAATCAAGACTGAGTGATACTGGCTTAAGGAAAGACAAAGATCAATGAAATTTTGAAAGTCCAAGAAATAAACATACGAATGTATGGTAAGTGGCTTTCTACAAGGATCCTAAGACAATGTGATAGTCAAGACAGTCTTTCCAACAAACTACACTAAGACAACTGAATAGCTACACATGAAAGAAATTGGATCCCTGTCTTACACCATATACACAAGCTCAAAATGGATCAAAGAGCTAAAAGAGCAAAACTATAAAATTCACTGAAGAAAACATAGGTACAAATTTTTATGATTTGGGATCTGGCAAAGAATTCTTAGATGGGATAGCAAAGGCATGAACAAAAAGAAAAAGATAAATTGGATTTCATCAAAATTTTTGTGCTTCAAAAGACTATCAAAAGGGTGAAAAGACAAAATATTTGCAAGTTATGTATCTGATAAAGGACTTGTGCCTAGAATAAGGAACTATTACAATAACAAATAGCCCAGCTTAAAAATGGGTATAGGATTTGTACAGATATTTCTCAAAAAAAGAATAGAAATGGCCAAATAGCACATTAAAAGATATTGAATATCATTATTCATTAGCAAATAAAAATATAAATCAAAACCACAGTGAAATACTACTTCGCACTAGGATGGCTATAATAAAAAAAGATGAAAGAAGAAAGAGAGAGAAAGAAAAGAGAGAGAAAGTATTGGCAAGGAAGGATGTGGAGAAATTGGAGCCCCATACATTTCTGGTTAGAATGTAAGTGCTGCAGCCACTTTGGGAAACAGATTCAAAGTTCCTTAAAAAGTTAAATGTACAGTTACCAATTGACCCAACAATTCCACTCCTAGGTATATAGCCAAAAGAATTGAAAACATGTCCACATAAAAACTTGTATATAAATAGCCTTAGAAACATTATTTATAATATACAAAAGGCTGGAAACAACTCACATTTTTATAAGTTTATGAATGCATAAACAAACTGTGATCTATCCACACAGTGCAGTACTGTTTGACCTTAAATAATAATGAAGTACTGATACATGCTGTTACACGCATGAACCTTGAAAACATGCTAATTGAAAGAAGCCAGACACAAAAGACTATGTATTATATGATTCCATTTATAAGAAATGCCTAGAATACAAAAATTCATAAAGACAGAAAATAGATTAGTTGTTATGGGAATCTGTGGAGAGGGAAAAATGGGAAGTTGCTGCTAGTGAGTATGGAGTTTCTTTAGGGAATGATGAAAATATTTTGGAATTAGTAATGATTGTTGCTCAACCTGATGAAAAGAATGACTGATTATGCACCTCAGAAAGATGAATGTTGTGGTATGTAAATTGTCTTACTTTTTTAGAACTTATTTTTTAAAAGTCACTGCTGCAAATCTCTCCTTATCTCTTTCCATCCCTCCTACCCACCCTCCCTCCCTTCCACCTTCTCTCTTCTGCCTTCTCGTCATCTTTTCCTCCCTCCCTCTTCTGTCATTCACTCTAGGAGAAACTACTTGCCATGTCAAAAGGCCATACATATGTTATACATATGGTAACAAATCGAGCCCTTCCATCAATAGCAAAAGAACTGAAACATTCAGCTAACAACCATGTATATTCTTCAAGCCTAGTCAAGCTTTCAGATGAATGTGTTGACTAAGATCTTTACTGAAATCTCATGAGGGACTCTGAACTGAACTACCCAGCTAAACTACTCCCAAATTACTCACCCATAGAAACTGCAAGATAGTTAATGTTTGTTGTTTAAAACTGCTGCATTTTGGGGTAATCTGTTATACAGCAATAGATAACTAATAGTTATAACCAGAAGTAGCAGTCATTCATTTAGTCTTAAAGAATTTGTTGAAAATCCACTCTCAGGGCCAGGGATTTAGCTCAGTGGTTCCGCTGCCTGCTTCACAAGTGCAAGGTTCCAAGTTCGATCTCCAGTACCAAAAAAAAAAAGGAAAACCCACTCTCTTAGGCTTTGTGCTAGTCATTGGAATCCACTAGTAAGTAAAAGTACATATAATTCCTGACCTTGTGTAGCTTAAAATATAAGACACATGACAGATATTAATCAAATAAGTGCACAAATATGTCATTACAAATTTACAGGTAATAAAAGAAAACTATAGATTGTTATGAGAACATAGAACAAGAACATAGCATAGAAAACCCTAGATCCTAATACCTTCTCTAGAAGGTATTATTCAGAGCCTCCTCATTTCCCAATTTACCTGCCTTCTACTCATCACCCATAGACAGGGTCAGGGAGAATTTATTGAACAAGCCTAGCCCAAGTCTACATCTGTTTCCCATTGAGCAGATAATACATCTGCCTTATCACTCACCAGTGTATCCAAAAGAATACACTCCACAGTACTGGTGGCTTGCACCTATGTATCAGAAAACTACCACCCAGCAACTGACCTGCACATGGAGAAACTATAGGCAGCTCATAGCATCAGCCAGTCACCCTCTGGCACACCAAAACAGTGTTCAGCTTCAAGCGCTGGACAGAGTAGGTACTCTTGCTCTATATAAATGTGGTATCTCCCATTCATAAAATTGGAAAGTGGCTACTTGATGCCACATAAAGTTACAGATGTGGAGGACACAACAATTTCAGGGTAATAAAGCTGAGTAATAGGGTTTACAAAAACCTGTTCATCCATCTTCAGTTTAAACAACTTCCAGTTTTCTTCTGCTCTCACCTCAACTTGAGCCTCACAGGCATGTCAGGACCCAGCTGGGGGCATTTCTCATCCCTTTGTCTGCAAGAACTGACTTCCCCAAAAGCCGATGCAAAAGTTGATTCTGCCCTTCAGAGGAAGCCTTTACTTAGGTTACCCAGTGGTCTCAACAGGATCATTTTCATTTTCACATATGTGCGGTGGCACAGGATTCATATTCCATACAGTCCCTGTTAGGGCTCCCTCCTTTGGTATTCACTGTTTCTTTGCCTTGTGTAAAAATTCTCTTGCAAGCTTTAATTATGAACAAATTCACAGGTTTGTTATACCATTAGCTCAAGAATTAGAAACACGATTACCTCCACTAATTGCTGGATATGACTATGCCAGTCCCGCCCAACTTGCCTCTCACGGTCTGTGTTCTCTCTTCTCAGCCTCTTCCCCCTTACTTCTCACCCCACCTCCACCCAACTATGAAACAAGATGTTGCAGAAAGTTCCAGTGGTTTAGCTAAGTCATTATTGAACATAGATATTAGTTTCCTAGGCCTGAAGTTCTACTGGGTAACAAATTCAAGGGGTGATAGTGAAAAGAAATCCAACTTTGAAAAAGTGAGTATATTAGCCAGGTTGACATAAAAACCTCTTAAAGGAAAAAGGTTCCTTCCTATGTACTTGGCCAAAAGCCTTCTTCACAGTCCTCCCATCTGTAGTGTCACTTCTCTGTCCTCTTACAGTGTTATGGCTAAAGCAGAATAAAACATTGGAAATAAAGTTAGTAAAGAAAGTTCACCAAACAACAAAATTATATCATTATTATGGCAATAAGATAAAATAACAGAAAAAAGATTGAGAAGCAGAATAAATCTAAGAATAAATAAGTGTAAAGACTAAAAGGCATACATTTAAAGACAAAATAGACAAAACAACACTAGTTAAATAATATACTAGAAATTTTAAAAATCATGTCATAAAAGTAGGAAAAGTTAAATGTAGTAAAAAATAGAGTGCAATGACCAACTTCTTTGAATAGGGCAAACTGGGTGGGTCTTCTGACATGCATCCTGTGTATCTTCCACTTGGTTAAGGCCACCGAAGGCAGTCCCTAAGGCCTGTTCTCTGGGGGAGCTCTCAAGTCAGCAAAGTGCAGCACAGAAAATACCAGTGCAACAAGGGTCTCACCATTCATCTAAAGCCACCAGGCATCTTTGGATATCTCTTATTCCATAATTAAGAAGCTTTGCAGTTGGACACAAAATTCCTCCAACTGACTTTCCAACATAGCCCCTATAGATGTACAAAACCACAACCAAGTGGAATGGTTTTCTCATAATCAGAGAACATGCCTGCCAGTATCTATTAACTATGTAGTTTAGCCTAGGAGGCCATTCTAGGAAGTCTCATGTGATCCTTGTTTATTGTGTCCACCCCCGACACTGGTCTGGGCTGCTCCAAGTTGGACTGGGGCTGCTCAGCTAATTGACAAAGTAGTAGGTTCCAGGCCTGTGGTCAAAATACAGGTCCTTACTCTTTTTCTATTACCGTAGCAATAGAAGCAAAGATTTGATACTATTTGTCAGCTAATTCATGCTTAATTCCTGGTGAGCCACTGTCCATTTGCCAGTGTAGTGGGAATCCCCCAGCTTCTGCTGAACAGCCTTCTCCAATGCCATGGGATGACCTCTCACTTCTTCACTGTGTTTAAGGTAATATGTTCTCAGGACAGAAAAGAGTAGAAAAAGTATAAATGGAAGACCTTGAAATTCCTGGAGCCAGAAACCTAAGGGTAACTTGATTTATTTTATCATTTCTTCACTCTAATAATAAAGACCCTATCCCTTCAGTAACTTCCCATCCCTAAAATCTGTGTGTGTGTGTGTGTGTGCGCGTGTGTGTGTGTGTTTAAGTAGGCAGAGAGAAGAAGGGAGATGTGTAGTTACTCACCAGGCCATTAAGAGTTAGTATTATCTCAGAGTGATGGAAAGAAAGAGGGTTGGAAGAGGCAAAGATTATTAAGTTTTTCTCTACAGACCTTGGCATTCTCTCTCTCTCTCTCTCTCTCTCTCTCTCTAATATATGTTGCTCTTGCAATTTAAAATAGTAATAAAATTAATGTAAAGAAGAAAGGAAAACTGTCCCACTATGAGACTGCAAAGAAATTGGTTACAAAGAATGACTGAGGGTATGAATTTGCATTTGCATACCAGCAGACTAATTCAGTAAATAAATATGCCCACATAGTTCAAAAACCATAGACATAAAACACATCTCTTTCTCTTCTAGACTAGACTAGGTCCTGCAGGATGCTGACATGTCACATTATCACTCTAAGAGCAAATATGGCCTGAACTTACCAGACATTAATGAGATAATTACCTTAGCAGGCAGGGGTCTGTATAAATTCCTTTGAGGTTCTAAGAACAATATCTTGAAGGCAGATTATCTCTGCTATCCTTGAAGATGCTACCTCATGCTTCTGTAAACCAGAACCCACAGCATTGAATGGATTAAGCACCATAAACTCTCTGTACAGGGTCAAGGGAGGGGTGTGTGAGAGAAAAACAGCTGTGTGCATGAATAGTATAAATATTATGATTAATAAATATATTGAAAAGGGAATTCCATGAGCATTAATCGTATTCTAGTCTACCTTTTAAAATATCTCATTAAGATACCCCATATGTCTTCAAAAATCATATTTGCCTTTTTTTTAAATCCCTTAGAAGATTTCCCATGGAAGTAAGGGAATAAATTGTTCAAGATCATGAAAATTCTAATAAAACTCTGCCCTACTTTTTCACATCATAATTACTACTTCTTTTTAAATAGCCTGCAGACATCTAGAGTTTTAATGTCCAATCCAGAGACCTAGACCAAAAACCTAATTTCTGGTAGGAGGGGAGATTCTGTGGGTCCTCATATCTTACGGGACAAAGAGAGTCAGTGAACCTGAGGAAGCTGTGAATGCCAGAAGCCCATAGCACCCATAGACATGATCAGTGAGCAGAGCTAGAGAAATGAGGATGGGTCCTGCCACAGAGGGAATAGACTTTACCTAGCAGCCCCTGATATTAACATTAGGAAAGATTTCTTTTTAGGAGTACTTGGCTTCCCTTGGTGTTAACCTTGCTGCTGCTTGACTCGGAACCTAGTCTTCAGTGGACCCCAAAATCTAAATTCACCTCTTTCCTTGGCCCTGCCCTCACTCCTGGTACAACTTCTTAATAGCTACTTATAACATTTCCACCCTGGCTCCTGCGTGAGTCACTGATAATGGTCACCCCATTGCACCTGACCTCCACCTGTACAACTATCGCTTGTGAGTACACCTAAACTCTTTCTGTACCTGACTTCCCTCCCAACTTATATCCCCTTCTGACTTGCCTTACTGTCCTGCTTTTTAAAAGACATTCATACTTTGATAAGGGAAATCAAACAAGTATAATTAAGGACAAACATATATATCAAATACTGATAAGCAGGAATTGAGTTTCTCTTTGCTCATGCCAGGTCTTTCACAGTTTTCTCCCAATCAAGTGACTTTCAATTTTCTTTCCATTTGTGAAAAGCCTAGCAGATTACAATGTCTTAGGTTTTCCCTTGATTGCTGTTTGAATTCCACTTGGGTGTTCTCCAAAATAGGAAGTTCCTGAGGCAGAGATGATATCATATCTTTTGGGTGAGCTCACACAGCACCTAACAGATGGTTTCAAAGTACTTGCTTAATAAATGTTTACTGTCTAGTTGGTTGTTTGATTAACTTAGAATTAAATTATTCTCTAGTCATTAAGCATGCCCACAAAGAATTTAAGCACAGCATTTAAATATCATTGAGAAGTGCTTGCTTCGGCAGCACATATACTAAATATCATCGAGAAGATGTACAGAAAAAAAGTGATATCAATGGACTATTTATCAAATTGATGAGGTGTTTATCAAATGCACTATTCATCACATTGATGAGCTTATTTGATGAGCTATCTTGTAGAATACCTCACAGTATAGGGTATTATATGTTATTGTATTATATTTTTTAAATTTCATAGTATCTTATTACATATAAATAAATCACTAAAATTTCCTACTTATATAAAAATACTTTTCATGATTATTCTTATTTTAAAAGCTTTAATTGAAGGATAGTGTACATTAGCAAAGCACATGAATTATATGTGTATGGATTTATTTATTGAGTACTTCAATAAATTTTCACAAATCAAATACACTTATGTAATCAGGGCACACTTTAAGAAATCTCAAAGAGTCTCAGAAAGCCTGTCTCAGAGCCCTTCCTTCTTCCATAACCATTACCCTGATTCCATATGTTAGTTCCTACATAGTTTTGACTTTATGTAAATGTAGTAATACAGTGTATGATCTTTTGGAATCACATATTTTAAACCATTTTTGGTTTCTGTATTCTTCTGTACCTCCCTCCCCACTCACTTCTCAGCAAAGATCTGTGTCTCACTTGGTTTTTATCTCCCAGGTCCCTAGACCAGCCCTTGGCCTCAGGCAGCTGCTTGTTTTCATTAAATAACTGAACAAATGAAATTGTACACATATAGCCAGTGGCTAGGCCAACTTTAAAACCCAGATCTTGTTACTCTAACCCGATGACTCTGCCTTTTCTTTTGTAAAAATTTGTGTACAAACAGTCTTTTGAGCCTGTCAGTTGTGGTGGCTCATGGCTGTAATCCCAACACTCAGGAGACTGAGGCAGGAGGATTGCCATGAGTTCAAGGCCAGCCTAGGCTACACAGTGAATTCAAGGCTTCCTGGGCTACATAGCAAGACCCTTTCTCAAAATCAAACTGAAGTCAGTCCATTTGTTTTATATGAGAGATCCTGGAGAATCTGGAGAGTTCTGATAATCATACTATCCTGAGATAGTTCTATAGCATTCATGTAAAGTTGGCTGGAACAATACTCCAGTCCATATGTGAGTTACAAGTATGAGACTGGCTTATAGGTATCTATTTTTAAAGGATGGTATATTTGTTAGCTTCCATTACTGTGAGAAAGTACCTCAGATAATCAAGTTAAAGGAGGAAAGATTTACTTTGGCTCACATTTTCAAAGTTTTCAGTCCATGATCACTTAGCCTTGTTGCCTTGGAACTGTGGTGGCACTGTATACCATGGCCTGTTCCCCACATGGTGCCTGGGAAGCAAAGAAAGACAGCAAGGTTCTGGGGTCCCAATATTCCCTCAAGAGCACACCCTCAGTGCCTAACTTCCTTTCTCTAGACCCTACCTCCTAAAGATTCCACAACCTCCCAGAAGTGCCACAGGCTGGGGATCCAGCCTTCAACACATGGGCTTTTGGAGGACATTCAAGATCCAAACTATAGCAGATGACCATCTGCTGATTACTCAGTCTCCTTCAAAAAGAGTTAAGACTCCTCTCAGCCAGCCTATTTAAAAAAGGGTCTAAGACAGCCTGAGACTACAGAAGCCACCCTCATCTGCGCTATAGTGCCCACCAATGCCTGCTGATGGGATAGTGCTGGACAAAGAGTCAGTTACCTATAACCTCACTAACTACAGCAATGCCCCCCAATGGATTCTTTGCCATTAGTGTGTGCCCACTCATCATGGCCCTCTTCTGAAATAAACAACAGCAGCCCTTAACTTCTCTCTTGGCCAAGGTCTCTGCAGTTTCTTAAGGCAGCATGATCACGTGCCTTAAAACATGTTCACCCATGTCTTAAGAACCAGGTAGGGAAAAGAACATGCTTCCAGCTCCACTTCTAGAATGGGAAATTTAATGAACAACAGACTCAGAATAGGAATCAATGGATAGCTATGAAAAGTGGCTCAGTGACTTTAAGTATGGACAAAACAGAATTGTACTTCAGGAGGCTCTATCATATGAGCAGAGAGCAAAGTATAAAATGAGAAATCCAATTAGTAAGCAAGTACAGTTACCCAGGTGAAAGGTAATAAGGATCTCAACTAAGGCAGATAGGAAGTTAGGGAAAGGTGTAGAAAATTGTTGGGGTGACCAAGGTTATGATTGGCTGTGGGGAGTTAGAGAAGAAGAGTGCCTTAAGAATCTCAGGTGTCTGGGTAAGAGAACACAAGAATGCAGTTATTTCTCAATAGAAAGAAAGTGACTGGATTTGGGCTTGAGGTATATCTGAGGCCTCTATGGGAGTAAAAATAGAGATAAGGTAAAGCTCTGGAGTTTGGAAGAATGATCAGGGCTAAGATACAAACTGTTAAATGACAGAGACTAAGGCCAGGAGTGTGGATAAGGTTTGAGTAAAATGAAGGGAAGAGAGAGCCCTGTGCAAAGCCCTTTCTTCTGCTTCCCAGATGCAGACAACTGCCCTGCAGGGACAGATTTTGCACCCCAAGGTGCTAGGCCATTACTTAATTTGGAATATTGCTTCTTGTGACCTTTGTAAGTATTGTGACCCAGAATGATTTACATTTTGAAATCTTGAAAGAATAAAATGAAGCCCTTTCAGTTATTGTTTTGTCACTTTTGGCAAAACTTTTTTTTACCAGCCATGCAGAGCTAACTTCTAAATATTCCAAATGTGTAGAATCCCTATTGCTAAATTAAAAGATTCAGCTGGAAGATTTAAAAAATTGGCAATAAGGTTCAAGCTAGGATGGCATTAGAAATTTAGGGTGGGCCTGATAGAAGTCCTTGAGGCCACATATAGAGATGGAAAGTGACAAAATGCTACTCTAGGGAGCCACTGACAGGACGTTAGTCCAGGTCTGCAACTCATTCTCCAGAGGGCTTAGAAGTCACAGCACCTCACTGTACCCCAGTGTCCTACCCTGCAAAGTAGAAATTACCGAAGTTTTACCTTCACTAAAGCCATAGGTCTGATCTTCCAGGCAGATATAAAATCCCCTCCCGACAGCACATCTCACTGTTAAGCTTGCCACCTATGTCCATAAGGTTTGCTCCTAAACCAGAGACTGTGGATCCTTACACCTTCCTGGGCCACACTGATGATTCATACCAGAGCCTAGCAAACTATGGTTCACTGCCTTTTTTCTTTGTCTCTTTGTACACAAAGTTTTATTGGAGCATCACCACATATATTCATTTATGTGTTTTCTATTGCTGCTTTTGTCCTACAAAGCCACAATTAAGTAATCACGACCGAGATCACATGGATTACAAAAACCTAAAAAGATTTACTAGCTGTCCATTTCTGAAAAAGCTTGCCAGCTCCTGATAGAAATGATGAAGCAGCCATAGGGAATGTAATTTCAGGTTACTAGAATTTCCAATTTCTCAAGAAATTCTGGAAATTTGGATGTTTTCATGAAAAACATCTCATTTTTATATGGCCCTGTGGGCCCATGAGCCATTTCTTTGGGATCCTTGCAAGAAATCACAAACTCCTAGAAAGCAGGGACTCCTTTATTCCTCTCTGTATCTCCAAACCCTAACATGGTGCTTTGTAATAGGAAATCAATTGTTTATAGAATAAATAGGGTTACAGACACCTGTGGTGGTGTACACCTGTAATCCCAGCACTCAAGAGACTGAAGCAGGAGGATCACCATGAGTTTGAGGCCAGCCTGGGCTATATAGTGAGTTTGAGGCCAGCCTGAACTACATAGTGAGATCTTGTCTCAACCTCCCCCAACCAAAAAAATAAAGAAAACATGGTTGGGACTAGATTTCCTCTGATTTTTCTAATATGCAGTGGTTTCCATGTCACCTGAAAGCTTTTAAAATATAACTTAGCTTCCATATATATCTAGCTTAGCAAAACATGAATGGCCTCACATACTTAAGAAAAAAGTATAATTTCCTGAGGAGCAGATTCTTTTCTAGAACCTTTAAAACACTGGTTAAAACTCTCCCTTTCAATGAAATGTTCTCAGATTAGCCTCAGGGGTCTTCACCCACTCCTACTTCAACACCTCCCACACAGGCTGTTTGCTCCAGCCAAGACAGATTGTGAGGTACAAGGAGAGGGAAAATGATCTTGGCCCTGCAGGCTCTTTAAGTTTCCCAAGGTAGGAACAGCCTATAGTGAACAATTGGCAAGCAAGCCAAAGCAGCAGACCCTATGATGCAACCTGTCAGTTGTGCAAAGATACTGAAAAGGTGATGTAGTAGCTGAAGGTGGACATCAATGAAAGTGCCAGGATTCCAATAAAATAAAATTTAAAAAGAAAGTGCCAGGGTGGAGAACTAGACCCAGGACAATGGGTATGATTTGGCTTTTCAGAGCTGAAGAATATTTCCAAATGGGAGAAAGGGTGTTCTAAAACCATCGAGTAGTAAACTAATCTTTTACTGGATAATAAATAGCCAGATGATCAAGCAAGACAGTTTTTGGTGACTCTGTATAACTTAAGGGTAACTTTATAAGGATTTACCACTGGAAAGAAAAGCACTGTGCCTCATCATTTTCCTGATTACCATTTGCATTATCCTCATGGAATCTTATGCCTCAGGACTAATGAATAAGACGATTTAAAAATCAATAAGTGGTAATTAAGTTGAAGATTATCTGTAAATAGAGAAAATAAGTAATTTTCACATTGTGCAGAGATAGGACATAGGGTCTTTGTTAGATGTTCTCAAATATCTCTCTTGAATAAAGTAGGATAGAACTACAGGAAGTCACCTATCCCTCTGACCGTTGGAAAATTTGGTAAGTGTACAGTAAACAAGGCTATCTTCTGAGAATTAAGCTCTACAGCTACACAATACAGTTTCAGAGAAGAAAAAAGGTCATCTTAAAGAAAAAAAATAAGCCTGAAAGCTTAGCAAATAAAACAATTAGAAGAGCCAAACAGGGTTGTTTAACATGAAAGCATAAAATAAGGAGTAGGGTGACAAGGAACATTAACCCTGCCCTCTGAAGAACTGACCTCTGAAGATGGTGCCTTAGCCAATAGCTATGCATACTCTTATCATTGGAAAGACTTCTTAAAATAAAAATGGCAGTGTCAGGCTTTTCCAACTCAATGCCATAAAATGTTTGACTCATATAGCTGTCTTCATTCAGATTCCATGCTCACTAAGCAACTTTCTGATATTTGCCTTCCTTGGAGGTCTGTCTTCAGTGAAAGAATGTGCAAGCAGAGACAAGTATTCCAGACACAGGCAGTTCCAATCCTCCTATGAATCAATAAATTGGCATTCTATTTTCATGCATCAGCTCTCTGAGCCTATCTAATTAGATTTAAAGCTGAGAGATGAATCTGTGCTCACTGTGCTGAAAGACCCAGTTTCTACACCTGTAAGACAAATACCTGACCCTGCTCACAGGTAGTGCCACCCTGTGAGGTCTACTGGAGACAGCCAAGTACTTGTCCTCTAATACCCCATGTTGCCTTTGGCAACAAAATTATTCTATCTTGGTATTTGTCCGCTCACTCTGACAGTATTGAATTACAAGGTAAAAAACATACAGATTGACAGATCTCTGATCCTAATTACAGAGAGGACACTAGACATAAATCAGAGGAAATACAACCCTCCTAACTGACCAGCTAAAGCAACTCAATGTAGTTTGTGTCTGAAGCTGTTATTTGATACTGGTCCACTTTCAATTAGCTTTCACCTAGGAAATGCTATTTGTATCCATAGATTGAGTATTAAATATCTTTTCATAACTGTCAATTTTCTCCACTTTAAAATGAATGTAATAGTTTCAATCCCCAGCATCACCAAAAATAAAGTAAAATAAACATAATAATACCTACCATGTCATTGATTTACCAGGCATTCATTCATTCAACAAATATTGATTGAGTGCCTGCCATGTGAGAGCCACCATGACAGGTACTGTAGTATTTGGGGAAACAGAGATGCATAGTTTCTGCTTCTAATGGAGGAGACATAATTTAAATAAGCTGTTTTAGTTCATTTGGGCTGCTATAACAAAATTCTATAGACTGGGTGGCATCAGCAACAGAAATTTATTGCTCACAATTCTACATGCTGGGAAATCCAAAATCAAGTCGCTACCAATTTGGTTCCTGGTAAGGGCTTTCTTCTTGGCTTACAGATGGCTGTCTTCCCACTGTGTCTTAACATGACCTCTTCTTTATACCTACTCAAAGAAAAGAGAGATGAGGACAGAAACAGAGCTCTCTGGTATCCCTTCTTATAAAAGCACTGATCCTAGGGGATCTGGAGCCAAACTTTATGACTGCATTTAACCTTAATCACTTCCATTAAGAATTTGTCACCAGAAGTTTAAACAGAAAATTATAAATAATAAAATTTTAAAGAAAACTTATCACCAAATATAATCACACTGAGGATTAAAACTTCAACATATGCATGTACAAAAACATCAATGATGGCAAGTGATTAATACATTACAAGGTGGTCAGGTTAGCAAGGAAGAAGCCAACAAAAACCCCAATGGGAGAAATAAATGAGATTTCCTACCCAGTTCTTTGCCCACTCCAGTTCTTTATGTGCTCCATTGTCAAAGACCACAAGATGAACAAAACCATCTCCCACCAACTTATTTAATGCATTTCTCTAAATTTTTTTCTTTCCTACAGAACTTAACTCTCCCCTGAGCTGGCAAGGTCAGCTCCCCAATTGGGATAAAAATTTGATCACAGTTGCCAAGATTGTAAAAACCATGCAGCATGAGCACCAGTAGACGATGACTGTGTACTTCTGATTTCAGAATCCACTATGCCTCTACTGTGCCCTTGCCACCCCTGAAAAGGGTAACCAGAGCAACCTCAGCCACAGGGGCCTGTGTACCCACTGCTCTTGCTGCTGCTGGAAGCTGGCAAATCATAGCTCCTTCTGTGATAACTTTTTTGCTTTTATTCTATCTTTTCTCCTGACTTCGGAACCTTAGAATAAATTTCCTCAGGACCTGGAGTAGAAAGAACTCCAACTCTTTTCTACAGAAAGAGAGTTCCTTGTATATTCAGAAGATTCTTTCCACTTTAGATATGGAGGAGGCTTTGTTCTCTCGTTTCTTAGGAACATTAATACTAGTTATTATGAACTCAATTGTGCCCCCCCCAATTCATGTTGAAGTCCTAACACCCAGTACTCAGAATGTAACCTTATTTGAATGTTCTTTAGAGAGGTGATTAAGTTAAAATGAAGTCATTAGGATGAGCTTAAATCAAATATGACTGGGTGTCCCTATATAGAAGAAATGTGGAAATAGACACACATACAGGAAGAATGCCATATAAACAAGAAGATAGCCATCTACAAGCCAAGGAGAGACCTTTCCCTCACAACCCTTAGAAGGAACCAACTATACCAACACCTTAATTTCAGATGTCTCCTTCTAGAACTACGAGACAACAAATTTCTGTTGTTTAAGCTGCCCCATTTATGGCACATTTTTATGGCATTCTTGTAAATGAGTACAAGTGTATACTAGGGCCCAGCCTCATTATTAACATCCTCTCTACCAATTTTACTCATATAAATAGGCCTCCTGATGACCTTCCCTGAGATGCCAGGATTCTTGAAGTCCTTCCAAGGCTCATCTTTCTCTTGCTCCACAGCTGTCATTTCTTTGAAATCTTGGTGTCTACATAAAAATTATTTCCTTATATCTAAAGATTAAATATGAATGAAACTCAAAATTTGAAGGTATAATTAAATATTAGAGGGAGTTTTTTTGTTTTCTTTTATTTCTGAAACTAAAATGGTGCCAGGGGAAAGAGTGGAAGGGTGATCAAAGCCATGTTCAGAGAGCAGAACCTCAGCTGGCCCCATCTGTCCTCCTATTCTGGGTCCCAGGTATGCAGAGAAGCCCACTCCTCACATGGTGGAGAGCAGAAGGTTGAGAGGTTGAACGCAAATATGCCTTGTCTCATAAATCTTATACTCTGTCATTTCCACCATTGATCCACGGATCAAAGCAAATGCCAAGACTCCAGTCAGTGGAGCAGACATGTGCACCACCCTTCCAGGAGGATGAGCAAGCACATGATGGCAGAATTGTGTCATCCTCTATCAAGGAGGAAATTGAGAGTTGGGAACAATAGTTCATGCTACTACAATAAAGTTTAGAGTCCATTGTTTTGAGGAACAGTAAACTGAGCAGTAACTAAAGGAGAATAAAAGGCCGGATATAGGTTCATTCATTTTGTTTTTCAGATAAGAGACAGTTGTACATGTTTATGTACTACTAGACACAATAAAAATACAGGAGTGAGGACTGGGTATTTAGCTCAGTGGCACCACTCCTGCCTGGCAAGCGCAAAGTCCTGAGTTCAATTCCCAGGACCAAAAAAAAAAAAAAAGAAAAGAAAAGAAATAAATGATGTACATCACTTCAATAATTCTTCCCTCTCTCTCATAACCCCAACTGTACCAGTCAGGGCCCAATTGAGACACAAATTGCCCTATAATTAAATGAGAAAAGCAAGATTAATATAAATAATAAATTATAATGGGGAATTGGCTATCAAGGAGTGAAAACTATAAAAAAAATAAAAGAATAGCACAAATAAGAGGCAGCCACTATACCCTAGGCTGAGGGAGAGAGTGCAAGGGTGGAATGAGTGGAAGAACAACCTCCAGCAGGACTGAGACCCAGACTCTGCTGGAGAGGACACAGCTGGGACTCACTGGGTAGTGAAGTCATTGAGGTGCCTGACGACAGGACTTGCTGGTGATTCATCTGGGGCCCTAGGAAAAGATGCCTAAGGGAAGGGAGACTGCTGGCCACTGTACACTACCAAATCAAGCCTCAAGAAAAGCACACTCTTCTTAGAGATGTCCCTCCTTCCAGTTTCCTCCTGATGAGGCATAATGTGCCATCTGACCAAGGAGAATGTTCAGTGTCACAAGCAAACAATGAAGGTGAATTTGGAGGTGAGAGGCAGTACATTGATAACTGACACACTAACCCAGGTTAAACTGAATTCTATTCAGTTTAACCTAAATTCTATTCAGTCTGCTATTTGATCCTGCTATACCACTCCTTGGTAAATTCCCAACAGAATTAAAGTCAGCATACTATAGAAACACCTGCATATGCATGTTTACTGCAGTTTGATTCATAATAGCTAAGCTATGGAAACAGCTTGGATTCTTGTCAACAGATGAATGAATAAAGAAACTGTGATAGATAGATATAGATATATCAATATTATTCAGCTATAAAGAAAAATAAAATCATGTCATTTGCAGGGAAATAAATGGAACTAGAGATCATCATGCTAAGTGAAGTATGACAGACTCAGAAAGTCAGATATCACAGATTTTCTCTCCTATGTGGGATCTAGAAAGAATAATAAGGGTTTTTTTTAATGACAAAAATAGGAGACTGTTAGTAAAGAAGAAGGGGGTTGGGAATGGAAAATAGGAATGATCAAAGAGTGTTATATGCATGTACAAATACTCCAAAAGGAATCCCACTGTTATTCTGTATAAGTAATATGCACTAATAAAACTTTCTATATCTGTCATCTAAGCAGTTTCTATACACTGTCATCTAAGCAGTTATATATGGATAGAGAAAAAGACAACAATATCAACAGCCACAAAACTAGCTAGTCTGCCTGGTTATGCCATTCACCTCTAATGGGCATCAGGGTGGCCGGGAGGCCCATCACCTTCCCTGGTCTGTTCACTCACCTACTCACCCAGATGATTATATGACACTTTCTCCTCACTCTTCAAATATGTAAACCCTTCCACAATCTGCCCACTAGCTCTGCTGATGACCTTAGCTCCTATTCCACAGAGAAAAAGGGGAAGAGAGTTCCTTGAGAACTCTCTCATTGGGAAGAGAGTTCCTTGAGCTCTCACCCCCACACCCACACACCTGTGTGTGTCTGTCTGTACCCACGTACTCTCCCTATCTCTCCTACAGTATCAGTTTCACCCCTCTGGTGGACCATTCCTATGGTACCACAATACATGAATGTATCTAAAGTAATCACACTCTTGACTTGCTCACCCCTCCAACTTCTGACTCATTTCTTTGCTCTCATACATAAGTTTTTTTTAATAATCACCTACCTTCATTGTCTCTCACCTTTTTCATCTCACTCCTCTTATTTTCTCCAGTGAAGCCTTTATCACCACCAGTGCGCTTTCAAGACATTTGAAAACCAGACAGCGTTTTCAAGATCACCAATGATCCAGGCCATCCTGCTGTAAAGAGCCCCGAAAAAAACATTTTTGCAAGGACTTTATCTAAACAATTTGATTCTAAAATATAGTTCGAAATGTACAGGCTCCTATAAGGTGCTAACATTTATCAATGAAGATTTAGATTAATCAGTGGGGAAAAGGTACTTACACATTTGCTTATTGTTCTATCACTCTATGAGATAATTTTTCATAGAGTCCAGACACCAAGTCTCTCTGTTAAGATGCAGGAAACATCTGTTCTTGCTCATATTTTTTTATCTCTCACTCAAGGAGACAACAGCAACACTTACTGCTCACAATGCCATGGGTCTTTGGCATCTGTTTGTACTGGAACAATACAGTCTTGGGTTTAGGTCTTCGTTTTTTGTTTTTGTTATGCTTTTATTTTTTGCTTCCGCAGTTCTTTAATGTCATTCACTTAAGACTGGTTTCCTCGTGATGTGGTGTCAGCCATCATGGCACCTGTGCAACTGGCTTGCAATCACTCCTTCAAAGGATTTTTCTGTGCTTCATTCATGATGACCAAAACATACAACCCCTACCCAGAAGGAAGATGTTAATGATAATCCATTTTTCATTTTTAACTGTATGATGTTAATATAGAGCAACATTTCTCCCAACCATATATTCTTCTGAATTCTTTGGGCCATAATCACTGCATTCATAGAATGTTATCTTTCAATATTGCCTGGACCTCTGCTTCTGCACACCACCTCCACTGGGGAGAAAAGGCAAGAAGACATGGGCAGAGCAAAACAGTCACATTCACACAGGAATGCCCATTTCATCTGAGACACAGCCTAAGACTGACCTGGGAAAGCACAGCATCCCCATGTCAGTGGGAGGGGAGAAAGGACATTGGTTAGAAGACCCTGTTGACACTGCAAAGTAACAGTCTTAAAAGCCCTTAGCAGAAATAGACACAGCTGCCCCTGGAGAACTCCTGATGTGTGCTATAGAGCCTGAGGGGGGGTGTGCGGTGACAACCCTGTGAATCAGTAGCAAGGGCTATAAAGGACAAAGGAGGCCTGCCGCCATCCTACACAATCCACATTAACCAGCAAGAATGATATCATCTGCCTGGCCCCCTGGACCAGGGCCCAGCACCAAGCCTTCAGATTACTCCATTTGGTCCAAATCTTGGCATTCTCAAACCACAGGTCAATTCAACACATGCAGTAGAGGTTCTGAGAGTGCCCAAGAATACAGAAAATGAGGATTAGGGTCCATACATGTCCCTGTCTAGAGACAGTGCTGCTATTTGTTCCCCAACCCCTGGTCTGGGTCTGCTATGGCTGAGCCAGCCCTAGTAAAAGAGATCAGATACTCCACTTATATTTTGCCACTTACATTGTCACCCTAGCTTCCCTCGGAGGTCGTTTTTGTTCTGGGCTTGACTTTTTTTGTTATTGTTGTTCTGGGCTTGACCTTAACCATGGTTACTTTTAGACCAAAAAACAAAATTCCTTGTTGCTACGAAGTCACTTTTATAGTCTCTAAAGATCTAATGATTCTTCAGGAAGTTTGTTTTCCCAAAAATGCAATAGAGTCACAGAATTTCCTAGCTTGAAAGAATTTTAGACGTTTATAAAGTTACAGAAATTCAGATCTGAAGGAGCCTTAAGCATCACTTGGACCAATTCTTCTTATCTAAACCTCCTTTCTTAGTTTCTATAACATCTAATACCCTAGTTCCCTTCTAATCTTTTTTGGCCACTCCTCAGTTTCCTTTGCAGGTTGCCTTTTCCAAAGCTCAATTTTCACAGTCTGTTGTCCACTTTAGTTTCTTCCTAAGTGATCTCATCCAGGACAATGGCTTTAAAAGTCATCCCTAAGTGGATACTTCCCAGATATATATCCAGCCCCAAAGTCACCGAGTTTCAAGCTCATGTATCCATCTATTCCTTTCCACTATTATATCTTAAATTTGACATGTCTAAAAATAACTGCTCAATTTTACCCCTTTTACTATATCAACATGTTCTCTTCCGGTCTCCTGAAAAAAGAAATGGCTCTACTATCCACATAGATGCTCAAGCCTAAAGCCTGGAGTCCTTCATTCTGTTAGCTGCCTTTCTTTCCTTTAGTCACACATCAGTCTATTAGTAAAATCATTTATCCCCATCATTTCTCAACCCTATCTACTTCTCTTCATCTCCAGTGTCAACATTCTTGTTCAAGCCATCATTATCTCTCTTTGGGATCACTCCAGTAATGTCCTAATTGGTTTTCTCTGTTTCTACCTCAACTCAGTCCATTCTTTGCATAGCGTCTGGAGTGGTCCTTTAAAGATGTGAATATAAATCTTCAGTTTTCCAATACCCTCCTGCACCCATTCTGTAACAGCTTGATATGGTTCCCATTCACTTCTCACCCCATCTCAGACATGCCCCCACCCTGCTTCCTGTGCCCCAGTCTTGCTGCCCTTTCCTTTCCTTAAACACACCTACTGTTTTCCACCCTCAGAGCCTTTACATGCTGGTCTCTTCCTGAAATGCCCTTCGCCTAATTTCTTCCATAGGTCATAGCTGGTGATGGCTTTAAAACATAAAACATGTCCTCAAAGACTTTGAACTTATCTTATTGAAAACTGGAACCATGCTGCCCCTCTCCCAGGCCTCCCTAAGTTGCAGTTTCACAAGCAAAATAATTGTTGTCATTGTTTTAAGCCAGGAAGTCATGGAGTGGTTTGTTACATAGCAATAAATAACAGGAATACAGCTGATGTGTCCCTCCTCAGAATGCCCTGTCTGAACATCCTACCTGAGTACCCATTGGCTCCATCCACCACCAGTGAATTATTATTATGAGCTTCAATCCCTAGTGCCTGGCACATAGCAGGTACTCAGTGAATAAGTGAATGAGTCCTTTTATCACATTTGTGTGATAAAATGGGAGTTTATTTAATATTTGCATGGTGATGATATCAAACATCAATTCAGGTAGCAGGAAGGACAGCTATGGAGCAGGCTTCCTGGTACTGCTTCCCAGGGAAGGTGGACAGACTCAGTGAACATTGGTCAGGGCTTTGAGAACCAGAAGACATTAGGTCTAGCAAAGGTAAGTGGGACTGCACCAAGGATGCTAGTCCTGGTACCCATGCAGCAGACAGTCCACCTTATTTGTGGTTGAGTAAGTAAGTGACTACTTTTAGGGCTTGTCAAGCCTGCTAGTGCATGTCTTTCTCACAAATGGATGTATTCTGTTTGGGAAACAAAAGACAGCAGGGGCTTGGGACAGGAAAAGTTTCTTAGAATCATCCTTGCGAAAAATGCTGCACTTTGGCAGTGTTGATAATGACAAACATGTCAGGCAGCTGAGTTTCAGGCTGGTTTCTAGGGGCTCTGTTCACTCGTGTGTGGTTTCCTTGCTGACAGGAAGGCTGCTGGGCAGAAGGCAGCTTTGGGGACACCTGACAAGCTCTGATGCCAACTGGCTCTGACAGCTTTGATTGGGATGAAAAGATCTAGGATCCCTACTGGCCTTCTCAAATTAAACTTTCCTTCCATGCTTATAAACATTGCTTTAGATTAAGAGACTCTCCCATGATGAGTGAATTCCCTGCAATAGAAGTGGACTTGTTGGGGTTATGTCAGAGTTTCTGAGATTGGGTTTCTCAGAGCAGCCCAGCAAGGTGAGGCTACACCCTGATGTGCTTCTCAGACAGAGCCTCCAAGAGATGTGTATCAGGCAGACCCAGCTGGGAAAACAAGAACCATGTCAGTTATTTTAATAGAGAGAATCCCATCTAAGCAATTGTTAAGCAGATACTAGAAGCTTAACAGGCTAAAAGGGGAAGGAAATACCAAGTAGACACAGAGCCAGTGACTGTAGGAAGCAGCACTTCTGGGGCTGGAGAACAAAGGGAAGAGATTGGAGTTTTAATAATTTAGTAGCTTGGAAGAGGGGCTGTGCACAGCTGGGACCCAGACTGCCAAAGAGGAGTAACTGCCTAGAATCTCTGAGGCTGGAACACGGAGTAGAAACAGCTGGAAACTGGAACCCATTATTACTGGCTTAACTGTCACTGCAAAGGGAAGAGTTATTGTCTGGAAAAGCAGAAATGTCATGCCACTTTACCTTCTTGCATTCACCAATTTGAAACCTCTTCCCAGCTCTACCTGTTCCCACTCTCATATACACAGAGCTCTTGAGTTTACTATCCTTTGTTTCAATGCTATTTTAAAAATTTTATTTTATAATGGAGGATTCAGATAAATGCAACAGTAGGTAGAATAGTACAGCGAGCACACATATACCCATTACCAAGGCTCAGCAATAATGAATCCACATTCAGTCTTTTTTTATCTGAACTCTCGCCTATTTCTTCCCTTCCATATTATTTGAAGGCAAATCTCAAATGTCCTTTGGATTCATCGATTAATATTTCATAGTACAATTATAAAAAATATTCTTAAAATATAAACATAATCTCAATGCCTTTAACTCATCTAAATAAAAATGCCTTCATATCATTACTGACTTCACCTCCAAACATCTCCTAAATCAGGGAGTAACAGCAGAAGCAAAATCCAAGGGCCAAAAAAAGAGACAGGACACAGATGAGCCCTGCTGTGCCTAGGACCAGTGGTGTTAAAGGTCTCAATGGGGAAGAAATGGTGGCTGTTGCCTACGGGTGATGGGAGCCAAGGGCAAGTGCTGAGCAAGGGAGAAAGAATCTTTTCCCACTGCTACCCCAGAGATAGAAAGGTGAGGCTCAAGTCAATATAGTTTGTCAGAGAATAGCTGAGCAATTTTTGCTTCTTGAAAAACTGTGTAGTTTTTCTCATCGTCGAACAGATGTGTCCACTTGGCAGGTTCTAAGGATGAGATTAAATTTTCCCAGGAGATAATCGATGCCATGGGGGGAGGGGGAGGGGAGGAGCAGGGAGGGCTGAAATTGATTAGTGAATAACTATCACTACCTAGCTCTGTTCCTTTGGGAAAAAGAAATTTAAGGAACTTTGCCCTCACACCAACCTAGTCTTAATACCTGCCACCACCCACACTAGCTGTGTGACCTTGAACAAGCTGTTTAACCTTACTGAGCCTTTCCTTCATCTCTTATAATAGAGAAAATAAAAGCTGCCCAGAGGATCCAGGAATGTGTGCACTGTGGTTAAGGTGTATCCCCCAAAATTTATATACTGAAACTTAATTGCCAATATCATATAATAGCATTAAAAGATGAGGTCTTTCAAATATGATTAAGCTCTGAGAGCAAATCCCTCATGAACAAGATTACCAACCTTATTAAAGAGGTACTAGGGCTTTGCTCACCTCTTTTGCCTTTTTATCCCTTCCACTATGTGAGGATGCAACATGAGGGAAACACAGGAGCCCTCACCAGGCACCAGATCTGCCAGGCATCGATCTTGAACTTACCAGTTTTCAAAGCTGTGAGAAAATAAATGTTTGTTCTTTATAAATTACCCAATCTTAGGTATTTGGTTATAGTAGTAGAAGCAAACTAAGACAACATGTAAAATACCTAATCATTCAGGACCAGAAAGGAATCTGCTGGTTCCTTCCCCATCCTCTATCTTCTCCATTGAAATCCAGATCTGATCCCATGTATAGCTCAGGACGCCAGTCCTGGGAAGGATCACTGGCAAAAGAGATTCTCTGTCTTGTCTACCATGCTTATGCTTAGAAGGACTCCTCACTTGCTTTAATGTCATGTTGTCACCATCTTTCTCCCAATAGATAAAAATTGAAAAATTTTTTCAGTTTTTATTTTTTATTAGTACATGCTTGCATTACATAATGATTACATTGCTTGAGTTGGTACATATACACAACACATCTCAACTCTTTTTCCATCCTCTTTCCCTCCCTTGCCTCTCTCCTCCCTCCATCTCTCGAACCCCTTCCCATTTGAAAAAGATCTATCTCCCTACTTCCTATCTATCTTTTATTTTGCTCTTTGCAGTTTAGGTTTCTAGTAAAGAGAAACTATGTGATATTTAAGCCCACATATCTGATTTGTTTCTCAATAATGTAGTCTCAAGGCACACCACAAATGACTCACATTTATCCTTCTTTACAGCAGAATAGCAATTCTTAAAATTTTTTAGCAAGGGCCTTGTATGTTCATTTCACTCTACACTTTACAAATCAAGTAATTGGTCCTGCCTGATACCAACTCACCAGCTGCATGAATTCCTGCATCATCCCTGAGCATCCCAGGTGAAGGGTAGAGAAACCAGATCCCAGCTGATCCAGCCTGAGGGGTCTTCAATGCAGATATTTATAAGGAGACAGAAAAGTCAAGGGGCTAGCAAACAAAACGGGGTCTCAAGTAACCAGCCTATATGGTATCCAGGATTGGTGGGGAAAGAACCAAAGCCAGCAGGAGAATGACTGATCCAAAGACAAGGAAAGAATCTGGAGTCTGCAGGTCTTCTAGACACCAGCAGTTGGAGTAGAGGTAGAAGTGTGATCGAGCCAGCAGTCTAGTAGCTGTTTGAGCAGTGTTCCAGAGGTGGAGCAGATGGAAAGGCTGGGCTGGACACAGACTTGGTTGAGGACCAAGCAAGCTATGACTATTAGTAGTGGAGCCAGAAAGGGGATGGGAAACATGGGAGGATGGGGTGAGGTGTCTCATTGGTGACAGTCCCACAAGCAAATGGAGCATGTTCCATAATATTCAGAAATCTAAGCAGATAGGTGGCCCAAGAGAAGTTGGTCACTAGACAAAGGTCCAATCCACTGTTCAGGAATTCAAGGACAAGACTGGAGTGAGAGTTACCTGAGCCCTACAGGGCCTGGGGCCTGAGCAGGTGTGCAGCACTAAGGACAGAGCATTGACTGCCCAAAAGGAAGGCAAATAAGAATGGGATCCAAAATAAGCCAAGTGGGCAAGAAAAGGAAGAGGAAAGAAAAGAGGCTAGTATGTCCTTCCATATCTCCCCTTGGAAGCTACTATATACTCTGTTCATCATTCCCACTTGCCACACTGTCCTCCCAAAACTGTGGTCTCACCTGACAGCTGGGGACAGCTTTCTCCCTCCATCTGCTCAGCCCAACACAGAGTAGATCATAACAGTGGGCATCAGGGTGGCTGAGCACTAGCTGGCTAGACAGCTAGAAGTCACTCAGGTGTTAGCTTTCCTGTTCCAGGGACAAAATACATATCTCCTGCAACATAAAGGAGGAGAGGTTTATCTTGGCTCACACTCAGAGACTTCAGTCCATGGTCAACTGGCTTCCAGTCTGTTATGGTTTGTGTTTATATGTCCCCCCAAAGCCTCATGCAGGTGAGGTGGGACTTTCTATTTCAGAGGTAGTTGAATCTGGAATGTGTGATGCTGGGGTTATGGGCATGTGATTACTAAGCCATTACACATGAATGATTAGGTTGGAAATGCCCTAACCCTGATAATCTAAATAAGATAAAAGAGGCAGAAAGATGCTGTTAAACTCTCTCTCATTACCTTTGCTGCCTTGTTTGTGTGTGCCATGTTGTTTCTCCTCTGTGATGCTTGTGTGCCATCTCTGTCTTGGAGCCAGCTGATTATGGATGAAACATCTATGAACTGTAAGCCAAATAAACCTCTTCCCTTTTAACTTTGGGTGTCAGGTATTTTGTCTCAGCAACAAGAGAAAAGCAACACACAGGCAGAAACAGCATGGACGGAGGGTGTGGTGAAGGAAAGCTGCTTGTCTCAAGGCATCAAGGAACAGAGCTCAGGGGAAGATCCCTGGAGAGGAAGGGGTCAGGCTCCAGAGACAATTCCAAAGGTCACACCCCACGTGACCACGCCCACTTCTTCCAACTTGGCCCTACAGTCTAACAGGCAGTTCAGCTATGAGCTCGTGGGGGTGGGGGGCGGTGTTAGTCCATGGTGAGTCAGTGCCCTCACAACCTAATCACCTCTCTAGAAGTCTCTTGATCAGGTCAAATTGTCAGTGGAGATTAAGCAACACAGTCAGTGAGACGGAGGGAGGCTGGATAGCAGGGAGCCTGCAGACTCCGGTACAGATAGCAAGCCTCTGCTACTACTAATGAGCCACTCAGTGCATTATTCAACCTCTGTCCCGAGTCTCCTCACCGTACAATGGGGATTTTTATTTTTTACCTTATTATGTACC